GAACAGTGCATAGCTTCTGGTGGGGCTGTTCCCAGTGCTCTGTTCCCCTCACCTCCAGCAGGAGCCACCAAAGTGAAGTTTCCCACCTGCCCGAACCAGCACAGCAGGGGCAGGAGCAGGAGGAGGAACCACTGCTGGAGGTGAGGGGAGCAGAGCAGCACCCAGGTAGCTGCAGCCACACCAGGAATAACCCCACTAGAAGCTGTGAGGGCTGGCCAGGGCCCAGGCTGGTGGGGCTGTTCTGCTTCCCTTGCCTCCAGCTGCAGGCTAGGGCCAAGGCCAGGGCCAGGGCCAGGGCCAGGGCCATGGCCATGGCTAGTGCGTGTGAGTGAAAGCACAGCATGGGCTGTCCCTGGCAGGGCTCGGCCCCATGCAGAATGCCTACCAGCGCTCCCCACCTCCCCCTCTCTCCTCTCACCCGCTGGTGGCTCCCAGACAGCCTCCCCCCACCCCCCAGCGCACATATCCCTCCATACACCCCCATACACCCCTCTGCCACCCCCAACCTCCCCACAGGACAGAGTAAGCTGAGAGTGTATCACACCTGTCCTGCTCCCAGACACTGCTCCCTACCCCCCACAAAGTCCCATAGGGAGTTTTGGTGAGTTATTGAGAGGCAAGGGAGTGGGGGAGAAGTGTTGACCCAGCCTGCAATGACTCATCAAAATTCCCTGTGTGGCCTTCGGGCCCAACTAATTGCCCACCCCTGGTCTGTGCCTATTAGCTACCTAAGCCTAAATCTCCCAAAGGCATTTGGGTTTGTATCTGAATTCACAAGTATGGCACCAATGACCTATTCAAAACTGCTGCTTAGCTGCCACCTGCCCCTGTAGGCACTTGCATTTCCACCAGCATTTACACTTTCACCACAAAGGTACTTAAGTACTGATGTTGCTCCAGCTAACAAGCCACTCAGCCCCAGAGCTCAGCCCCCAACCATAGAGGACCTGAAGAGAGACTATCAAAATAGGAATTTCCTTGTTTTTCTTGCCAGCAGGGCTCAGTCTCATAAGCATGATCAGAGCATGCCCAGAAGAGGTAGATCTCAATTGCCTGATGCTTAGCTTATGTAACTGGGTGTGGGAGACCTGGACTCAAATTCTTGATTTGAAGCTGGGACTTGAACTCATAATTCCCACATCTCAGGTCACTGGGCTACAGGGTCTGTCTCTGTCTCAGTGCCTGTATTGTATACACAATGCGACCACCATCATAGGGAGGAGGTGGAGTGATTTCTTCCCAGAATCACTAGTGTTTTGGGAGTTAAAGAACTGGATTTTTGAAGGTGAGGAAACCAAACTTAGGCACCCACCGCCAAGAAATAATTCATGGTTCAAGACCTGGAGCAGAGACAGTTATCTATCTTCAGTCTAGTTACCTGTTTTGTTGTCTCATCATCTCTCTCATCCCTAATACTGTCTGAGATTCACAAACTGGGCAAACTCACATTTAAGTCCCATATCTGACACAGACTGACTGAAGTGTACTAACCAAAAAGTGTGGCAGCTACAGCCATTGCCATTCAAAAACCACAGTTGGAGGAGGAGGAAGATGTGTTTCTTCCCTCCCTGTGTACTGACAATGTAACAGATAAACACAGCTCGCAAGGAACAATTATCAACAGAATATTCATCAACTCATATTTTACTTGTTTGCTTTTAAACGTTTTTAAAAAACAAAATCCTTCCTTCACGATTGCCAACATGTGCATCATTGCACCTTCACAGCTACAGCTCCTCCTGTGATACACTTGCCTTCGCACAATGTCACTATGGCCAGGCCATGCAATGTCTTGTGGCACAAGAGTCTTTTCTGCTGTGAAAATCCTCAGTGTGAGACTTGGCTGATTCTCATCACAATCATAACATCATACATTCCAGCTATCAGAGGCTGTGGAGTGCCCCTGAACCTCACTACAGGTAGGAATAAAACATATTATACATGTTTTATATTCTAAGACCTTGGTGTTGTATTTAACTTTCTATGGATACCATATTTACTCAAATCCAAAATGAGATTCCTCCCCCCTCACCATTTACCATGGTGGGGAACCGCTCATCTTGGATTTGAGTACAAAGCTCCAACTCCAGCCCCAACCAAACTGCCTGATTCTCCTGTAGAGTTAAAAGGGATCTCAGGAGGTCATCTAGTCCAACCCCCTGATCAAAGCAGGACCATCCCCAACTAGATCATCCCAGCCAAAGCTCTGTCTAGCAAGGTCTTGAAAACCTACAAGGATGAAGATTCCCACCTCTCTGGGTAACCTGTTTCAGTGTGTTACTACCCTTCTAATGAGAAAATTCTTCCTAATATCTAACCTAAACTTCCCTTGCTACACCTTGAGACAATTGCTCCTTGTTTTGTCATCTGCCACCACTGAGAACAGTCTACCTCCATCCTCTTTTGAACCCCCCGCTTCAGGTAGTTGAAGGCTCCTATTAAGTTCCCACTCAGTCTTCTCTTCTCCAAACTAATAAGCCCAGTTCCCTCAGCCTCTCCTTACAAGTCATGTCCCCTAGCCCCTCACCATTTTTGTTGCCTTCTCCTGGACTCCCTCCAACTGGTCCACATCCTTTCTGTAGTGGGGGGCCCAAAACTGAACACAGGACTCCAGTACACACTGTTGGCTCATATTCAATTTATTGTCCATTGTAACTCCCAAGTCCTTTTCTGCAGAGTTCTCCCAGGCAGTTGGCCCCCAGCCTGTATTGGCACATGGCATTGTTCTGTCCTAAGTCCTACACAAGCCCCCTTGCACATCCCAGTGACAGTGTTTAGAGGAGGTATGTCAGGGGCAAGGCACACTATGGAAATTCAGGGAGAACTCCAGAATCCTCCAGATCCTATTCCAATAGATCTTGGTAAGGAATTGCAATGTGGAGTAGCTCCCAGGTTCCCTGGAGTATTCTGGGAATGCTCTGGCCCCTACTGAGGCCAAAAGGCTAAGAGTCGATTTAATGCTCACCCTCTTTCAGTAGCATAACTAAAGTAGGATGAGCAGGGTGCCCTGGTGCTGCTGCCAACAGTGGACTCATCATTGTTACTACCCTGTGTGCCACCAGTGCCCAGATCACAAAAATACTCCCCCCTCCCCCACCCCATGCTTGTGTCTCTGCCCTCTTTCCCTACATCGGTTAGGGAAGTGCTAGTGAAATGTGTCTGAGCGACATCTCTGGAAAATTATGTCTTTTGTCTATAGACCTGGCACAGGTAGGATCCTATCCACCAAACCCTGCTTCCTCTCTTGTCTCCCTCACGTCTCACCCAGACTGAGATGGGCACTCCACTCATTGATTTCAAGACCAGAAGGGGCCACTGTGACCTGTTTGAGCTTTTTACATAGGTTATAACATTTTGCACAGTAATTTCTGCATAAAGGTTTTACCGTGTGAGAAAATGAGAAAGCATATCTTTAAGAAAGACATCCAGTCTTGGTTTCAAGTGATCAAGAAGAATGCCTCACATCCCCCAGTAAGTAGCTCCAGTGGCTGATTATTTTTACCATTACAATTTTGCACCTTGTTTGCGGTTTGAATGTCGCTAGCTTCAGTTTCCAGCCATGGTATCTAATTGGGTAGGTCAAGTCATACCCAAAGACTAACACATCTTCCCCCCGTAAGAGGTACACCTTACAAGCTATGGTCAAGTCACCAAATGGGCTCCTTTAATTGTCTCACTGAAAGTCTATCCTCAATCATTTTGTGGCCCTTCTCTAAATCCTCTCTAATTTTTTAACATCCCTTTGAAGTGTAAACATCAGAAATTGACTCAACATTACTAGAAACAACATAGCAATATTCTCAGCAATGCAATATATAAAGTAACATAACTTCTTCCCTCCTGCTGAATATTTCCTTTTTTTAAATGTACCCAAGGATTGTATTGGCTATTTTGGTCATAGCTTTTTACTGAGAGTTCACGTTCCTTTGGTTACCTATCATAACCATAAGTACTTTTCAGAATCATTGCCTTCCAAGATACATCCTTTAGTACAGCCCATATTTGTTGTCTCTAAATCTCTTACCCAGCATATTTAATCATGTTATAAAGTTTCCAAGACCATTCAGCCCTTGAGTCTTGTAAGAATGATAGCAAGGCCACTAATTAGCATCCACTGTGATGTTGAATATTTTGACTGGAAAAAAAGTCTGAGGTGTGCCAAAAGATTTTATTCAGATGACCAAGCAGCTATCAGGTGGCGTTAATTTCTAGTCATCACCAATGTGAGATTGTTTTTTAAGCAGTTAATTAAATATGAAGAGCTCCTATCTTATATCTGATCCTATTAAGCAGTCCAATTCCAAAGTCAAATTTTCACAAAAACCTTGCAAACTTCCATTTTGTGAAAATGTTAGAGACTGGCATGAACATACAGGCTCCCTTCCCCATCACAGTGGGCACGTCAACAATTAGTGCACGTGAATAAACTCTGGAGAAATCAGCTCCAGAGTTTATTACTGCACAGCACATGGAGCTTGGTTGGAGCAGCCCCAGTTGGCAGGGCCCCAGGGGTCAGCCTGCCAGCCTGGGGCTGCTCCAACCAGGATCAGTGTGCTGTGAATGGGCTGGTTGGGGCATGAGGGTGCTTAAGAGCAGGGCTAGCCAGCAGGCAGCGCCTGCACTGAAGTCCCCTTGTGCCCCAGCCAGCTGGGTCAGCATCTATACATGTGCTGCTGCAAATGAAAAATCTCTGCAGCAGGGTAGTACCTGCATTTACAAGCACTACCCTGCTGCTCAGTTTATTAGTTTCCTGCACCCTAATAGGGGTGCATGTGTAGACGTTGAGATGAATTAGCTCCACAGTAAACATCTCGTGTAGACACACCCACTGAGTACTTGTCAGTGTTTCATTTTTTGCTAAGGATATAGTCATTTCAGGCTTTCTTTAAAAATTATAAAGGACCAAAAAAGGCACAAATGTAAAAAGTCTGGTGCAGAACCTTTAAAAGCATTGGAAAAGCTCAGCTCACACCAGGCAAAGAATAAAGTACTTGTATTTCCTTTTTAATGAGCCTATCCTACAAATATTGTTTCTTTCTCAATGACTAATTGAATCAGAGATGCATTCACTTTCTGATGAAGTGAGCTCGTGCTCATGAAAACTTCTGCAACTCTGATTCAGTTAGTCTATAGGGTGCATCCCTGTCCTGCCTTTTGCCTGACTTCAGTTTAACATAGTTAACTACCTTTCTCTTCTTTCTCAAAGATTAGTTACTTGCCTTTTTACGAGCTCTCCATGAAGTGCCTCCATGAGAATATCTCTTTCTCTCCCACAGCAGGAAGACCATTCCTCTATCCTGAAGCAGAGTGGCACAGATGTCCCTCATTAGCACGGACACTTGGGACAACTGAGACAAGCTGAAGCTATCTAAGAAGCTGGCAATGTATTTCAGCAGTTCTGCTGGGAGGCTGCTTAGAGAGTGCTTATCTTCAACTTGAATCCTCATTTTGAAGTTGCATTTCTCTGATTCAGAAAGCACAGGGTCAACCAGTGGTTTAATAGCAAGTGTCTTGAGAGGCTGGCTATAAATAACCTTTGCTTTATGACCGGGAGGACGGAAATTATTCTGAACAAAAGTACATCCCAAGTAGGCAAGGGGACAACGGTGTTGGAACCACCTGTCCAGACACGACTGGATATCAGCATGCACATTCTTGAAATGTGAAGGAAACTCATCCCTCCTGAAGAAGTGATTGCACATGAATGTGAAGATTGAGCTGCTTTTATTATGCCTTCTAGTCACACATTGTGTGTCAAGCTCTACATGGAGTTCTGCGGGGTTTTGTGCATCCAGAACATCTGCTAGAGTTGCCCTAGCAGAGAAGGGTTCTGCCTGAAATGTGTATGTCTGTGTCCCAAAATCCATGAACAGTCCATCAATACTCTTTGCTTCGGATATCTCATGACCTTTCAGTTCTTTTTCCAATGCACATAGTAGTGTAGTTCTGACTATATCTGATTTGGGTAATTCTTCCAGGTTTATTCCCAACTCTGAAGTATCCACTGACTTGTTCGCACTTGGCATCTTATGTCCCAGGGCATCTCCAAGTCGTGCTCTTTTGCCATAATAGCTGGTAGGTACTTTAAAGGTACAGACGGTTTTCACTTCTTGATGTTCCAAGTTCCCATAGACAAAATCTTTTTCTTTGGGTGTGCAAGCAGCTAACTGGCCAAAATGGATAAGCATTCTCCCATGATGCACCAGGTACATGTTATAACCACCTACATCAACTTCTTTTTTCAACCTTTCCAGAACCCCATCTTGCCAAGGGGCCAGGCCTGTCTTTTCTGCAGATATATTGATTTCATGAGGTTTTTTGTCTTCTTTCGGGTCCTCTGTGGCAGATGCCTCCTTTGACTTCTCTTTGGGTTTGTCTCCAGAAGAAACTGGAACTGTTTTCTTGGAGCTTCCACCTTCCTTTTTTTCTGTGGTTTCTGATGAGCCTGTTACTTTGCAAGCTGAAAGTTCCTTGCTAAAAATGTTCTCCCAGGCTTTGTAACTTAACAGGTCCATCCCCTCCTTGTCTTTTGCTAACTCCTCACGCTCGAGTTGGCTCAACTCTACCACTTGGCCATCATTTTCTGTAGAACCACAGAATGCTCCTCCAACAGCTCCTTGTTCTAAACCTGCATCTTCAACCATTAGCGCTTCCATTTCATCATCTTCTCTCCACTCAGGAAACAGCTCAGCCACCTTCAGATTCCTAAAAAGAATCTTCTGATCTCGGAAGGCTAGTGCTGTATCCAGACACTCTTCGTTATGTGGTTCCTTCATAATGTTCTGATGTAGGATAGTGTCTGAGTCCACATTCGGCCAGCGATTCCATTCCATAGAGCAACACACAATGCTGGCTGGACAGACCTGAAGGTGCTTTGCCAGCTTAAAGCGGGCCATGGAGAAAGGGCAGCCATAGGCTGAGTTGAGGCATGCTACCTGCTCGAGGGGACACAGGAGTTGATGTTCTTCCTCTTTGCACTTGTGAAAGGCAGCCCCACAGTGCAAGTGGCAGTTGATCACCATGCAGGAGATGGTGGGCTCGATGGGGACTCGGCAGTACTGGCTGAAACATTTCTCACAGTGTTTGTGCTGCCCAGGGGGGTTCCTCTGAGGCCTGCCCTATGTACATTGAGGATGAAAAGGCAGTAAGAAAACACAGTTATTTTTGGAAGGTGCAGGAAAGGCTAGGGTCAGTTAGTCAGAGTGGGTTTGACTCCTATATGCTAAGTGATACTGCTAACCTGATGCTATAGTCTACGGATGTAAATTTTGTTTGACCATCCTGAGCCAGATCTGGACTGCAGGGCTCCTTGCAAGCCTCATCCAGACCCACCTCCAGCATCAGAACAAGTGGTAGTGGCATTAACCCCCACGGCTGCCTGAGCCATTTTGTTGGCTCAGGGAGTCATGAGAGTTAATACTTCCATTACTCACCCTGCCACCACTGAAACATATCCCCAGTGGGACTCCATACCCATACATTTGGTGGTAGGCTGAGCAATAGTGATGTTAACCCATGAGTTTTCCTGATCTGACAGAGCAACTCAGGCACCCTTGGGAGTTAACACAGCAATTGCTTGTCTGGCTGCTGCTAAAACAAGTCCCCAGTGGGGCTTCATACCTGGGAATTCGGGGGTGGGGCAAATGACGGTGGCATTAATTCTCGTGGCTCCCTGAACCAACACAGGGACTCAGGGAGCTGTGGGGGTTAATACTACCACCACTCATCCTGTTGATGAGTTCCTGGACCCTCCTCAAGTCCCATGGGCCAGATGACAGATCTGTAGGCCATATCTGGCCCATCTGGCCCTTGGGACCAGTCTAAAAAGCAATGATGTAAAAGTGTTCACTTAGATCTGTGCTCTGCATGTCTCAGACTCAGATCTGCTGACAGTCCTGATCTCAGTAAGCTCTTCTTGCTCTTTTATGTGTTAGCCCAACAGACGCGGCATAGCTCTGAAAGATTTTCACTTCATCCCAGCATCTAGACAACATGTGTATATGGGCTTAGATACCAGATCTTATCAGCCTTTACAGCAGAGGGAACATATGATGTACCACCCTACAACAGTGTATTTTGAATGAACTATAAAATTACACTGGGAAAAGTTGGGTACAAGTATACCTCTGTACATTACACTGGTATAAGTATGTGTCTGCCCCTATCTGGAAGTTGCTATGTGCTATGGGAAAACAGGTTTTTACATCCTCCCACCATTAGTTAGAAGTGAGGATTTGTAATAGTGCCTACTGAGGGTACCTATTCCCATATACCTGCTCATCTGTCCAGTCTGGGTCATGGTGCAAATTATACCAGTGTACAAAACCAATGTAATTTACACTGATGTAAATCTGTTGTGAGTCTAGCTCCTATGTCAGGGAATTAGCACCCTTACCCCCTTGTCTTATGTCACTTTCTCTGTAGGAGGGCCCCTCTCAAAGTCTAGGCATCTTGAGAGGAAGCTTCTGGACTGGAAAATACAGAGCTCAGCAGTGGCTAATAATGAATCATAGAGAAGTAGAGCTGGAAGTGTGGTGGTGCTGGGTTTTAAGGACCATTACCTGGATTTTCTTTTGTGATACTTTTGTTTCTGTGGGTTCTTTGCTAGTATGCCTTTCACAGTATTCCCCCTTCCCCTCCCTCCTTTCTTCCTCCTACTTTCCCATCTATTGTATTATAATCACTCACTCCACTTTATTCTCTGCTCTATACTGTCCTTTCACAGCATCTGATAAAGTGAACTTGAGTTTATGAAAAGTTGTGCTCTCTTTCTCTGTATAACTTAGTGTATAAAGATGCATATCTACCCAACCAATTAAATCCATTCTCCTTTTCTTCTTCACAAGGACAAGTCCTGTTTGGCAGAGAGCTTTCTTTGCCCTTTATCTTCAACAGCTTATGAAGGAAAGCAAAGAGACCAAGGAAGAGGGACTGGTAGACATGAGTTCAGGACGTGGAGAGTGGAGCTGGCAAAGATCCAGGTTGTGAGAAAGCTCTTCCCTCCACTGAAAACATAGGAACAGGGGTTATCGGAGCCTCTCTTCTGCCTTGGGGCAGAATCACTTGGTAAGGGGGCCAGACAGGGAGTTAGGAGCAGAGCAGAGGAGACTCCTTTTAAGGAGAAGTAAGACTGAGGTTGTGTAAAGACGATGGAGCCCCAATCTGGTTAGTTGGTACATATGTGTCTCTGGTGTCAGAAATTATTTAGGGAATCAAAATCTTTCTCTTAACCAGGAGGGATATTTAAACATCAGCTCCTGGCCCTGCTTTTTATTTTGCATCTCACCACAACCAGCAGAGACACTGCACAGAGCAAGCTGGCACCATGCTGCAACAGTTTGATCAGGCTTTGCTCATGCCTGGGCAAGGGTACACAATTTGAAACAATAAAATCTGGCATTTATTGTGTCAGAGTTTATTGCTCCTAAGCACACTGCTTGAATGTGTGCCTGAGACCGCAGCATGTTGAGCCGGATCAGAGCAGCCGTGGCTGGCAGGAGGCCCAGAGTGTCACCCTGCCAGCTCAGGGCTGCTCTGACCAGGCTCAACATGCTGCAGAGGAGCTGGATGGGGCATGAGGGTGCTCCAGTGTGGGGGTAGGTAGCAGGCAGCCCCTGCATGGAAGCACCTTTGTGCCCCAGCCAGCTGTGTTAACATATACGCATGCACTACTACAGAGAAAAAACTCCACAGCAGGATAGTACCTGTATTTTCAAGTACTACCCTGCTGCAGAGTTTATTAGTTTACTCCAGCCTAATAGCCCTGCAAGTGTAAATGCCAAGACATTTACTGCAAGGCTAGTCAACTCCACAGTGAACTCCTTGCATAGACGTACCCCCTGATATGACTGCTGTGCCTGCCACATCTGTGGTATTAAAGGAATAGTACTGAGAAAAGGTTACACCTGGGTTGCTGCTTGGTAAAGTAAATTAGCAGTCTACAAGGTAGCTTGTTTATAACTGGCTTGTGTATGTCTGCTGTTTTGGCCTTCCCCTAGCTGGGAAATCCCTACTCCTGAAAAATGAGTTAAGCACACGAAGAACAGGCTAGTTCACAAGGCCACACACCAACCAGAAGGGTTTCTAAGAACTCAAAAAACATAAAAAATATTTCTGTCCACACCTATCCTAATTCAACATTATTATCTGTAAGCAAATGCCTTTGACTTCACTGAAATGACTCACCTGCTTAAAATGAGCTTTGTGTCTATACTGTATATGTATTTGCACATTGGCACAAATTACAATAATTATAAAAGCCCAGGTCACCACTGCCTTGTCTACTGTATCATTATGCACCTCCATGCAAAGTGCATGTCAAACACAACACCTGATGTGAATGGATAATTCTAATTTGGCTGCCTCTTACCTTCCCCCGCCCAACCCCCCACATGCCCACACTTTACACCAGGGTTAATGGCAACACAAGAGGCAGGGAAATGGGAAACAGTATATGGAGTGATAAGAGAAATGAAAAACAGAAGCAGTCTGCCTCTGTTTCATACATTCTTCTATCTTTGAAATATCTTTATTACTTTAGCAGATTGCCTTTAACAGAGTAAGGAAAGGAGACCCAAACAAACTGGTCAGCAACTAATCAGCTACATCATGTAACAGGGGCAGATCCTATTACATGTATTGGTGACAATGAGACATCTAAGGGTGGCTTTCTATTTCCTTGTCTAGATTTGGTTGTTTACATGGATTTTTTTTTGTTTAAGTGCCAAAAGTGCCACTTACATACAGGCAGGAATGCTGTTCCTGGCTGCATAGTGTACATGTACACAACCAGCTACCCACAGAAACTAGGCATGTACAGTAGCAACAAGAAAGAGGGTGTCTTTCCTGTCTTTCACACCTCTAGAGACTAGGGCACTTATCTAGGAAGCTAAAGGATCTGAGTTTTAGGCCTTGCTCACCTACAGGGGATTGCAAACATGAGTCTTTCTGACTTAACAGCAGAGTGTTCTAACAGCCACACAACAGGTTAGGTGTTATTCAGGGCTCCTTTTGAAACTAAGCCAGGCTAGAGGAGGGCATTTCTTCCTCACTGGGAGCACGGGCCCATGCTAGCAACCAAGACCATGTGAGTGCTCTACCAACTCAGATACTAGGATCAAAAGATAGAAGGCCCTCCTCCCTTCCTGAGTCCAGTTTTCTCTAGTCTTGTGTTTTGGCCAAATGCATTTTCAGGCCCTGAGTGCCACTATTCATCCACAAGGGACACGTGTGTCCCCAGCTACATTTGTAACCAGTGCATAGACTTCTATGCATGTCCAGTCTGGGCACGCATGTAATCATTTCTGAAGACTGTCTACAAAACTAGGCTTTGCACACAGTCTACCTCTGCTTAAATGCAATTTCTGGCACTTTAGATCAGTGCTTCCCAACCTTTTTAGACTGGCACCATGGACCGGAAGTGACCACAGACTGGAAGTGACCACGGACCAGCAAACTGCGGACCAGCACACTACAGTCTGGAAGTGACTGGCATAGTGTGGACCGGTAGCCAACCCTTTTTTATACTGAGTATAAAAAAGGGTTGGCTGCCAATCTGAACTATGCCGGTCACTTCCGGACTTCCGGTCCAGCAGCCAACTCTCCTGCAGACTGGCAGCCAACCCTTTGCAGCCCGGTACCAGGTTGTGGCCTAGGGGTTGGGAATGTCTGCTTTATAGGACCAAAAGTGCCATGTAGATGACCAAATCAGAACATTTTTTTATTTTCCTTTGATCTGCAACAAAGAATGGTACAAAGCTGGAGAATTTATATGCAGCCAAGGTAAAGAAAGGATATTGGCAACTTTGCCGGCACTGTCTTAAAACAAGTGAATCATATTTTCTTCTGAACAGGACCTACCATAGCTCCAGTGGACTGTCTTGGTTGGCTCTGGGAGAAAAAGGCACAAAATTAGTAAATTAATTAAACTTCTTCTTTTTCAGTAAACTAAAAATACAGTGGCACCAGTACTCCAATGCCTAGACATTAGTACTTTGCAGTTCCCTGCAGAACATTCAGTTGCAAACAGCCCATCCTAACAAACAGCAGCAGCTGTGACAGAGCAAGTGGACTAGGGCCCAGTGTGCTATAAGACCCTTCTTCTCTCCTGTTCACTGAACCCTGTTCTTTGTGCTCTTCCCTGGAAAGGAGTGATATTGTGAGAATTAATGAGAGGGAATCAGTAATAATACTAGAGGAAGGAAATTGACATATTGATTGGAGGGCTGTGTGAAATTTCAACAAGTGTTTCCTTTCGAAGCTGTTTCAATTCATTTCAAGCTTGAAACAGTGAAATCAAAATGAAACAAAAGGCTTAGAAACAGCTTCAAAATGAAATGAGGGCATGCAAAACGTTTCAAAAGTTTCAAAACATTTTGAGGTTCGAAGCAGCCCAGCGGTGGGAGGTAGGGAGAGCCAGGACTGCACTCCAAGGGGCTCCACCACTGGCTGTCCTGCCACCTTCTGCCACCAGGCTTAGCTGCATGGGGCTTGTGGAGCCGCTCAGAGTGCAGCCTGGTGGTGGGAAGCGGGGAGAGCCAGGGCTGTGCTCCAAGTGACTCCACTAGCCCCACAGAGCTCATCCTGCCCTCCCAGCACTGCTGGACTGCTCCTGGGGATGTGGGCCCCCAAATCTGCACATTGAATGATAGGAGGCTGCTGCTTCTGTCTGGGCCCAGCAGCAAGACCAGTCTTCCCAGTGCTGGGTGTGGGCTGTGCCCAGCACCAGTCCCAGGTGGCAGCGCTAGCCTCTTGCCATCCTGAGTGCAGATTCGGGGACCTGCAGCACCAGGACGAGTTTGGCACAACCCCACAGCTCTCCCGGTGTTGCAGGCCCCCAGATCTGCATGCAGGATGACAGGAGGCT